CCCCAACCCCAACCCCAACCCCAACCCCAACCCCAACCCCAACCCCAACCCCAACCCCAACCCCAACCCCAACCCCAACCCCAACCCCAACCCCAACCCCAACCTTACCACAAACCTGACCCTATGATTACTAATTTAGTATATATATATAAATTTTAAAAATATAAAAATTATAAAATAAAATAGTAAATTACATTTATATAATTAATATATTTTAAATAATTTAATTTAGCTAAATTTATCTTATTAATTATAAATATATAAATTATATCTTTTTAATTTTTTTATATATATTTAATTAATTTATATATAAATAAAAAATTTAAAAATTTTAGATTAATTTAAATTATATAATAATTATAAAAATATATTTTGTCCTTTTATAAATTTTATTATATTAATTTACTTTAATAATATAATTTGTATAATTTTTTATTTATTCTAATAATTATTTTAGCATAAATCGAATATAACTCACCATTTACAGAAATAAATCTTTTAAAAATTCATTAAATAAATAGGTAATAATAAAAATTCTTCTTAACTGATTATCAATTAGTTAAAAATATATATACTTAAAGCTTATTTATATAAAATTTTCAAAAAAATAAAGCAAACTATTATATGTTTAATCTATTACAAGATTTACTATATTATTTATTTTATTCTGTTAAATCAATTTAGAGAAATTATAATTTAATATTATATATCTTATATATCTGCTTTTGAAAATAAACATGAATTCATAATGCGCAAATATAATATTTCTAGAATTTAATATAGTTAATAAATAATTATGAGATTATAAAGGATTAAATCAAATAACTATGTATTTATGAAATTTTTCTGTTATATATTTATATTTTATATGTACATATTATGATAATTATAATGTTTTTAATTAATTTCGTAAATTAGTGAGGTTTTTAATTATATTGCATTTTCTTTATAAAATTTTAGACATAAATAAAAACAAACTATATTAGAATAAGATTAAAGAAATTTACTTTATATTTAAAAAATAAAATTATTTTATTTATGATATTTTATAGTTATCAATAAAAAAAAAGTTTGAAAATTTTATTATATTTTTATTTTACTTTTTTGGCAAGAATGTAATAATAATATTTTTTGATTAATATGATTATTAATCTAATAACGCATAAAATATCTAAAATAAAAATAAAATTAATTTAATTATAAATTATATATATATTTATTATATACTATATATGATTTTAATTTAAATTAATTTAATTATAATTATTATATTTTTTTCTTTTTTCACTTTCAGTTATTTTCCTTTTGTAAAATTATGATATTTCACTTTGTAATTTTTAAAATCTACTAAGTTTGTCTTGATAAATCCATTAACTCTATAAAACATGTGCATTTGCAGTCATTTTCTTATAAGTTATTAAGTCTAGAAAATAATTCTTCTTAAGCAATCCTTAGTATCATTGTAATAACTATTTTCTTTAAATGTAAATGTTTATTGTCTATGTCTATAAAATTATTTTAAGGAAATCAGAATATAAAAAAATAAATATTAAAAAATTTATATAAAAATACTAAGCATTTGCTATTATATTTAATTCTAAATATTTTTTTTAAAAATATAGTTCTCTAAGCATTTATTATATTTTTTCATATTTTTCAGACTTCTTCTTCTTACTACTTTAGAATATCTAGGTTTTAGACGCATTTGATAAGATAAATCTAAGCAAAAACAGGAAAATTTTAAATTTACTTATTTATTTAATTTAATCCTTAATAATCTAATAATTATTTATTACTTATATTTAATTCTAGAAATATTATATTTTCGCATTATAAATTGATGTTTATTTTCAAAAAAAAATAGATATACATATTTTACAATTTTTTTGTTATGAATTAATTCATATTGATTTTTTAAAAGCAAGTTATTTATATTTTATGTAAATTTATTAAATACTATAATTTATAAACTTTTATAAGTTATTTAATAAATTAAAATTTTCAAGTTTTTAATAATAATGATAAAAAAAAAATATATTCACAAACAAAAATATAAATTTAAACCAATTAGAAAAAATTAATCAAAGTAATTGCATATTTTCAAAGAACAAGCATAATTCTAAAATTTTAGCCTCTTCTATTATAAAAAATATAAATTAATAAAAAACTGTAAAGAATAAATAAATTAAAATTAATAAGTGAAATTACATTTAATTTTACAAAAAAAATTTAAAATCAAAAGTAAATAATTATATAAAAATAATGAAATAGCAAAAACATACACACTAAATAGAAATAAAAGAAATAATATTATAAAATAATTGAAATGTATAATTTATTATTAATAATTAGCAAAAATTAACAAAATAAATATTAATGTAATAAATATAAATGAAAAAAATATTTAATTATTGGATGAATAAAATTTAAAAGCAAGAAAAAAAATTAATACTAAGAAAAAATATCATTATAAGAAAATAAAATTAATTAATATAACAGGATATAAACAAAAATTAATAACAATTTAAACTTGAAAAATTTAAAAATATAAAAGATAAAAATATTATTTATATATTAAATCGGAATTTTTAATAGTAAATAACCAAAATTAAATTATAAAAATTATCAAAAAGTGAAAAAAATTTAAAATAATCAAATAAAAAAATAAAATAAAATAAAATAGCATTAGCCAAAATAAATTAAAATAAATCCTTTTATTATGAAGGAAGAAAATCTATAATATTAACTTTCTAACTCTATTGAAATACAATCAAATCAATCAAATAATAATATTATAAAAATTCTATTTAAATAGATTTATTAATTTATAATAAATTAATTTAGATCATAATTAATATTATATTAAATTAAATATATAATTATTATTACTATTTTATTATAAAAATGTAAACTAATATTAGATTTATAAGATAATATTTTATATTCTTTACAATAATATATAAATCAATTATTTAAAATAAAATTAAATAAAAATATATTTATTTATTTAATTATTTTAAAATTATTAATTACAAAATATTTTTATTTTTGAAATGTATTTTTTTGTATTATTAAAAATTTATATATATATATTTTTTTTAAATAGTATTATTTAATATATATTTATAAATTTCTTTTTATTATATTTTTTTTTTTATTGTATATTTTTTATATAGTATTTTTATTAATATAATAAAAAAAAATAATATATATTTTATCTTATTAAAATTCAATTTATTTCTTTTACAAAAAAAACATAATAATTTCTTAATTGAAAAATAAATAAAGTAGTAATTTTTGTTTTTATATTTATTATATAAAATAAGTAATATATTTTATCTTACATTAAATACCAGAAATTAACAGATTAAGCACAAAATAAAGTTTTAATTTTTTTTTTTTATATAAAAAAATTAATCTTAATAAAAAATAAATTGCTATCTAAATAAAAAAAATATGTATAATAAAAAATAAAGGACAGTATTAATAAGTGGATTTTCTAAAGGAATTGGAAAGGAATTAGTTCAAATATTTTTACAAAGAAATTTTTATGTAATAATAGTGGGCTAAGACTAAGAATATTGTGAACAAATAGTTTATCATCATAGTAAAAGCAAGTGTTAATTTTATGTATGCGATATTTAATAATAGCAAGATGTCATAAATTTAATATAAAATATAAAGAAAACTAAAAAAACAATAGATTTGTTTATAAATACACTTGAATGTTCTTTTTTACTTTCTAAAAGCATTTGTTAGCTTATGATAGAATAAAATAAAGGTTGTTAACCTGGATTAATTATAGATATAGTATAAGGTGCTGAATAAGGAATATAAGAAGCTTTAGAAGAAATAAATAATAAAGATGAAATTTAAATTTTTATTAATGACTTATAAGTTAAATTAATTAATATTTTTGTAACAAATTTATAAGATTGCTTTAAAGATGTAAGTTATTATATTTATAAATTAACAATAAATGATAATGAAAAAAATTCCGATTAAATTTTAAATATTTGGAGTCCTTGTTTATGAGTATAATAAAAAATTAAAATGACTATATAAAAATATATTATTTATTTTTGTTAAAAGAAATATTTATAATCATAATAATTTTCGAAAATTAAATATGAATTATGCTAGAGTATATAAAATATATCTAATATAATTTTATTATTAAAATTAATAATATATATTAATTAGATTTAATTAAATAATAATTACTATATAATAAATTTATTTATTCTACAAAATTTAATAATATTTTAATAAAAAAAAAACTTGAAATTTATTAATTTTTTTTGTTAAAGAAATTAATAAATATTATTGTATATAAATATATAGTAATAAAATAATAATATATAAAAATATATTATAATATTAAATTAATCTATATAAATTATAATTATATTTAAATTAATATATATTCCTTTTTATTTAAAAATAAATTTATATTATTAAAATAAGTTTAAAATCGAAAATTTAATTTGTTATTAGTATTTTAAAAAAACAATACATTTATCATATATATTTAAATTAAGAGTTAATAAATTTTAAATAAATATATATAATAATTTAAGAAACAAATTAAAATTGTAAATCTTATATTTTAAAATAGTATTTAATATGATTTAAAAAAAAAATAAAAAATTAATTTATATATATATAATTTAATCTTTTTATATAACAAATATTTATAATTTATATATTTTATTTTTTATTTATTAATATTAATATATATTTAAGTGTTTTTCATTCTCTTTCACTTTCACTATCATCTTTTTCTAATTTGGATTAAATTTCTTTTTAATAGACTTAAATTTATTAAATAATTTATTGCACATTCTTTCTATTTCTATAATACATATATTATTTTTTCCTATTCGAATATTCAATTTATTCTTAATTTACAGCAGTTTATGAAGTAGTAATCTAATTTTTTTTTTTTAAAAAAAAAAAAAAGAAAAAAATTACTATTTTTCCTGCAGTTTCTAACATTTAATCTTTTATTTACATTATCATTTAATTTAAACTATCTTTATTTTCCAATAACTAAAAAAAAAAAACATAAAATTTATTTTTTAAAATAATATTTTACATTTTCCTTTTCATCGAATTCCACCTCTTATTAATCATCTTCTACATTTTCATAATTTTAATGAAACATTTTTTCTTCATAAGCTTTTATATCATTTAATTTATTAAAGAATTCTTATATGCATTCATCTACTTTTTTACTTCCATTATCGAAATGAGGGTCAATTTCTTAAGAAAACCTTTACTTAACAGATGCTTCAAATTCGTTTTATGCAGCTTCTAATTCATCAACTAATTGAACTTCAATATCCATTAATGAATTTTTTAATTCGAAAGTTTTTTCATGTAACTCTTTCAATTATTTATCGTTTTTATTATTTTAAACACAATTTCTAAATGTTATTTTTCTATCATGTTCAAATAATTATACAATTTTTAAAGCTTCTTTTTCATGTTCAATTTCTCTTTGTTTAAAAGATTATTCAAATTTTAATAAGTCATCTAGTATTAGTTAATGTTTTAATATTATAGGGGATTATATTAACTCCTTTATAGTAGTTTCGATTTTTTATTTAAACCTAATTATAATAAATATATATATATATATATATATATATAAATATTTTAAAAAATTTTATAATATTTATTTATCAAAAAGATAATTATATATATTTACTTTTCTATTTCTTCATTTATTTATATCATATTTATAACTTTTATTTTTTCCAAGTCATCATTAAATACTAATTCATCTTTTAATCTGTCTATATTATCCATTTTTGCGTCTTTTTTTCTTTTAATTTATAATTTCATTTCATTTTCTCTTGCTTCTTATTCTTTCATTTATTATTCATATTCATTTGTAGATATTTAATATTAAGCAAATATATTTTCTTCTGTTTATCTAATTAAATTTCTATCACCTTCATCAATAAAAACATAATCTAAATATTTTAAATTAGGTATAGCACAAATAATATGAGTCTTATTAAAATTATTTAAAATTTAAAAAAAAATGAAATATACTTTATATTCATTTTCTTTTGTTTTTGTAAATGGATTTCCTTCTATATTTAATACTTATAAATATTTAAAATGAAATTTGTCTTTAGCGATTTCATCAGTATTTTTTTTATATTAAAAATATTAAGTTATCTATATATTTTATTTAAAAATAAAAAAATTAGTACCTCTTCATATGATTTAATTCTATTATTTCCAATTGAAAAAACATTCAACTTTAAATTAGTTTAAAGGCCTTCAATTTTTTAAATTTAATTATTATATAAAGACAAATCTTTTAATTCTGTTAGCATTTCTAAGCCTTCAATTTTCTTAATTTAATTAAATGATAAATCTAAAATTAAATATAATTTTAAAAAAATTTAAGAATTATTATTACCTAACCATTTCAAGTTTACTAAATGACTTATATTTTCGATTTTTAATATTTTATTATTATCTAATTAAAGTTTTTCTAATTTTTCTAGTCCTTATAAGTTTTATATTTTTATGATATCTTTTTTTTTTGATTTATTTAGTAAAAAAAACTATCACTAATATACTTTTAAATGATATTTATAATATTCTTAATTATTAGAAAATAATATTTTCTGATACTATTATTTTATTGTCTTAATTAAATTATTTTATGCATTCTCTAATTTTTATTTATATACTTTTTTTTAATTATTTTTTTATATTATTACATGACAAGTTATTCATTAATAACTTTAGGTTCTGGTTAATTTACATTAAATTTTTTATATTTTGTATATCCTTTTACTATTGTTTGACTTATTTATTATTAAGTTCGCATTTTATTTATTTAATAAAATATGTTTGTTATAATTTTTTTTTTTTAATTAAATTTATTTTAATAAAAAATAAACAATAATATTTATATACATATTAAAACCTAATAAATAGTAAATTTTTATTTTATAAATTTCGTTATATATATATATTATAATATTCGTAATTATTTATATATTAAAAATAAAAAAAAATTGCAATTTTTCCAAAAAAATTTAGTTATTTTGAAAAATAAAAAAATTCTTTGAAAATATTAAAATATATAAAACTTCAAAAATAAACAGAAAAAATAAAATAAATTTTAATATAGAAATTTTTTAAAATATTATAATTCATATATAATTTTTTTTTTTTTTTTTTTAAATAAATATAAAGAATGTATTAAGAATTAAGATTTATTTAATATAACAATTTAAATCAATTTCTATATGCCTATTTATATAAATTTTTAATATTATTAAAGTTCTGAGGATAAATCATTGCAAATTTCAAAATATTTCTGTATTGAATATGTGATTTAAGATTTTTAATTTTATTAGACGAAAAAATATAAGTCAAAGATTCTTTTTATAAAAAATGATAAGAAACAATCCTCATAAACTTTGTAATAATAATTTTCTATTCAGAACTATCATTATACCATATATTTCTAACATCTTTAATTGCATTCATATTTTTTTTATATTCCTTAGCAATTTTAATTATCTAACTATATTCTAAATCACAATTGATTTTGTTTAAAATACAATTTATAAAATTTGATTATTTTTTATCAATAATAAACCTTAAAAAAGCTTTGGCGTAATTTTTTGGAATATTTTTTGATTCATTTTTAGAATTTTATACTTCAGGATTTTCCAAATAATCTTTTAATTTATAATTCTAATTTTAAATATTTTTAGAGTAATCATCATTTTAATTCTAATAATTAGGAATTAACTTTTAATTAAGCTAAATAAAACCTATATTTTGCAAAACATTATAAGGATTAATAAAAAGGCAATTGTTTGAATATTAACCTTATTGCACCAAAAGCTACTATTAGTACTATTATGAACTTTAAAATTATTATTATTTTTAGTTTAATTATTATTGTTGATTTTAAGGATTTTACGGATATTAAGTCTATTGAGACTATAAATGCAATTATTGTTATTGTTATTGTTATTATTATTGTTATTGTTATTGTTATTATTATTGCTATTATTATTGCTATTATTATTGCTATTATTATTATTATTATTATTATTATTATTATTATTATTATTATTATTATTATTATTAATTATACTATTCATTTTATTTTATTTTCTGTCCATAATAATTGTATACATTTTCAGAAATATTTTAATTTATTTAAACAGGATTAGGACATTAATATTAATAATTAATCATTTATTTATTTTAATTATATTTCAGATTATATTATTACATTTATTATAATAATTAAGATTTATTTGAAACTTAATTAAATAAATCTTATTATGTTAATATTTATTAGGAATTTTATTTATCTTGTTATTAAGTTTAATATTATTTTTAATTAAAAATATTAAATTATTAAGGAATGTTAGAATTTTAATTTTATATTTACAAAGGTTATTCTTTTTATACTATTTTATCAAAATTTTATTATTAATTATTTTAAGTTTTTCTTTATTATTTTTATTAAATTTAATATTATTATTTATTAATTACTAATTAATTTTATTTTTATTAATTATCTTCATGAAAGTTATTTTAAATATCTTCTGTTTTTATTACATTTTTTATTTTTATTTAATCGACATTTTTAATCTATTTCATTTTATATTATTCATTACTTTTATTCGAATTTATTTTTTATTAATTGAATTGTTAAATATCCATTACAATTATTTATTCATTATTTTATTTATTATTACTAAAAATATCTTTTGATTTATTAGTATATATATGATTTTAATAATTATACTAATTTATTGATTTTTCTTTTTATTATTATTATTTTAAATGAAACTATTATATTTTTTGTTCTTATTATTTTTATATTAAAGGAATCTATTCTTCTTATTTTATTAATTATATATCAGGCATTTATTATTAATTTTATTAATTTATTTATTTTGTCTATATAATATTATTGCATATTATTTCTTACTAATCTATTTATTTTTATTATATAAGATTCTATGATAAATTATACATTATATTATTAATTTAATTATTATCAGATGTTTTGTATATTTTTATCATACTACTTTATTATTATTCCATCATAATATTTTCCTTTATGAAGTATATATTAATATATATTTGTTTTTAAGAAAAAAAAAAAAAAAAATGAATAAATATAAAAAAAATGAATAAATAAATAAATAAAATAAAAAATTATGTCGTCTGTTTATTTTTAATATATTAATAAAATATTTATTGTTAAAAAAATAAAGTTTAATAACATCCTATTACATTTGATTAAATTTTCAAAAGATATTAGTGATTTTCGATATTTTCTTTTTGTTTTTCATTATCGTAAAGCTAAAATTCTATGATTTTAATAGGATCTTCTTCCTTTTATTTAAAAAAATTTAAAAATATAAAATTGTATCTTATTTCTAAATTTATACTTTTTCATTTTCTTCAATATCATAATTTTATGTTATTTTTTATAATAATTATTCATATTATTATTAGTGATTGTTTTATTATTCTTTTTATTCGATATCGGTGTAATCATATATATTTTAATTTCCCCTTTTATTAATTATTTAACTTTAATAATTTTGCTATTATGCTTAAATGTTATATGGTATTTTTTATAATCTATGAAGATTTTCGTCATTATTATTAATGAAAAAGTAATTAAATTATTTTTCGCTTTCTATATCTTCTTACTCTTCATTAAAGAACTAATCTTCAATTAAAAAATGTTTGTTTTTATCTTATATATATTCCATTTATATAATAATATTTGTTATATATGGTTACTTTTTATATTTTTTGATAATTTTTATATAAACAACAAAATTAATCTAAAAAAAATATAATTAATCCTTTTTTTTAATAAACTGTTTTTGATTTATATTTTTTAAAAATAATTCTTTTACAAATGGTATTAAATATGTTTTTTTAAAAAATTACAAAAATATTTATTCTTTAATTATATTGCGTATATTATTATAATCTCTCAAAAAAATTTGTTAAACTAAAATATATTAAAATTAGCATTTAAAATAATTATAAATTAACTTTTAATAAATTTACTTATTTTGAAAAAAAAATAAAAAATATATATATATATATACTAAAAATAATATCTTTAATAAAAATAATCATTAAAAAAGTTATTTTTTAAGTCTAAATTTTTTAACTTTTTATTTTATTTTATTAATTTTTATTTGATTTAATTTTTTTTTGTTTTAACTTAATTTTTATTTATTTAAAATAAAAAAATAGACAATATAAAAATGGACTAAAAATTCATACATTTATAATCTTTAGATTCCATTACATTTGATAAAATATTGGAATATGAAGAACAAATTATATAAAATAATTTTACATTAGAAACAATTGAATAATTAATTCCTTTGTATACATTATGTGTAGAACATTATGATTAAATACATGATCCAATCAAGAATTACTTTTTAGAAAAAATATAAATGACTTTATCGAACAAATACGCATTTTAAAAAATTACTGAAAAAAAATAAACTGAAAAGTTAAAAAATAAAAATAAAATTCACAATTAAAATGATGAAGAATTAATTAATATTGAATATCCGGAATATGAAGGGGAAAAAATTTCGATGAAAGCAAATTTAAAAGCAATAAATGAAATATAAAAAAAAGTAAATAAATATATATATAGTTTTTAAAAAATATTTAATAAAATTAAATTAGATGAATAGGTTTTGTATATCTAAAAAAAAAAAGAAAGATTCAAAAAATTAAATATGTTAATATAAATATAGGAAAAGAAAAAAAATTAATTAAAAGATATGGAAATTTTAATATAAAATTATCACCAAAAAAATAATCAGAAATTCGAAACTTTAGATTAAGATCTTAAATTTTAAGTAAATGAAGTTTTTACGAGGCTTTAAAAAAGAAAAAGTTAAAAACAATAAATATATATTCTTTTTAATTTTTAAAAAATAAAAAAGTATTAAAAGAATAAAATAATAAACCATAGAATGAATAAAATTCATAAAATATTAGTCAAGATAATAGTTTTATAAATGATAAATAACTAGAAAATACAATTGAATATTAAAATTGATATTTTATTAATCAAAATTTTTTTCAAAAAAATAAAATTTCAAATTTATAAGTCATTTTATATATATTTAAAAAAAATTACATTATTTTGTATTTATATGATGTATAAATTATTAATTATTTTCTATTTTAATTTTGATTAAATAATATAAATTTTATATTTTTTAATATATTATGTATTTGCATATTTAGATATTTTAATTTTATATTTTTTAGCATTTTTTTAAAAATAATATATATTAATATATAATTTATTTATTAATAATTTTTTTTATTGGAATAAATTCATTTTTAATATAAAATGATTATAATATTTTTAAAATAATTAAATATTATAATTATGTTTACAAGAAAATAAATGAAAATAGTAGATAAAAAAAAAATACTTAAAAAA